TATTTCCCCAGCAAGGCTTCTGACTGACTATTGGAGATTTGATTGGCTGTGCAGATTTTAAATTTTTTTTATTTAATTTATACCCCACCCTATCCCACGAGTGAACATAAGAACATAAGAGAAGCCAATGTTTGGATCAGGCCACTGGCCCATCCAGTCCAACACTCTGTCACACAGTGGCCAAAAATACCAGGTGCCATCAGGAGGTCCAGCAGTGGGGCCAGGACACTAGGAGCCCTCCCACTGTTGCCCCCCCCCAGCACCAAAAATACAGAACATCACTTGCCCCAGACCGAGAGTTCCTATCTATACCCTGTGGCTAATAGCCACTGATGGACCTCTGCTCCATATGTTTATCTCAGATATGTTTATCTGAGTGGGCTCAGGGCGGCTTACAACATAAGATTCATAAAACCAGGGCTATTTTTGGGCAGGAACACACAGGAACGGAGTTCCGGCTGGCTCCCAAGTTGGCCATGCCCAGCAGGAACTCATTAGCATAATAGGCCACACCCAACAGCAGAAACTCATTAGGATTGGCTACAATTAGGGGTGTGTGGCCTAACATGCAAAAAGCCCTGGGTTTTGACAACAAACAAGATAAAGAGAATAAGAAGCAAAAGGTAGGTGTGGCTGGATGACCACGCTTCTGGTAACATGGGAGTGTGGCCTAATATGCGAATGAGCTGTGCTGTCAGGGTGTGGCCTAATATGCTAATGAGTTCCTGCTGTTGGGTATGGCCTATTATGCTAATGAGTTCCTGCTGGGCTTTTTCTACAAAAAAAGCCCTGCATAAAACAATAGAGGCAATAAAACCAATACAACAACAGGTGGCACAATAAACAGTAACAGAAAGGATACATGCCTCATGTCAGGTGAATAAAAAGCTCCAGTGCCCAAGTAATGTTGTCTAAAGCATTAGGGCACTGGGAAGGGGCCACAAACAGGGCAGGCCAGATTGGCTGAACATCCGTCGCCTCAACCGAAGGACCACCAATGAGCTTCTTTGATGGGACGGGACAGTCAGGAGGGCCTCTCCCTGTGTTCTTAATTCCCAGGCAGAAACATATGGAAGGACTTTCAAGGGTAGCTAGGCGTAATCTTCGTGGGGGCGTCGGGGCAACAGCCCCGCCGAAATTTTCAGGAAGGTGCTCAGCCTCCCCCAGGAGCCACCCTCCCCGTCCCCCCCCCCGCCCCCCCCCCCCCGGGAAATTAGAAAGTCTACACCCCAAGTAGTGTGACCGGCAGTCGTCCAGACTAGATATAACTAAGGCATGGATCACTTATGCCCAAAGGTGGGCAAAAGCACTCTGGACCACCACAGCCACCTGGTGTCCAATATGTATACTTCTAATATTTCTAAAATATTTCTAAAACACATTTCTTTGGCAGCAGCTGCCACCACAGCAAAAGGATCTACACCAGGGGTGGCCAAACTTGCTCAGTGTAAGAGCCACATAGAATGAATGTCAGATGTCTGAGCCGCAAAATATACACATTTTTATTTTAAAATATGCAAATTTGCTTTTTAAATTAACATTAAATGAGGCAGGCAAAAATAAAAAGAAAAGGGGTAAAAACAGATATTGATAATGATATCTATTTGTCTAAGAGAGAGAGAAAAAGAGAGGTGGAAAGAAAGAATGAAAGGTGGAAAGGAAGAGAGAGAGAGAGAAACAAAGAAAGCAAATAGACGGGAGGGAGAAAAAGCACGCCTCCCCTTTGCTTCCCCAGCTGCCCTGCCAGGAGCTGCACAATATGTGTGAAAGAGCCGCATGTGGCTCCCAAGCTGCAGTTTGGCCACCCCTAATCTTGACTGTGTTACTGAAGTTAAGCTGTGGCAGCCATTTTGTTGCTGGCTCCACCTCCTGCAACAGCCATTTTGTGGCATCCGTTTTGTGGCTGCACCCCCCACACTGTGTCAGATTTCCAAACGTGCCTGCAGGCTGAAAAAGGCAGGATTTAAATGTTTTCATAAAACAAATAAAGGCTGCGGTCACACGGAGCATTAGCCACGCTACTGAGGTGGATGATAGGCGGATTTTCCGGGCGCGATCACACCTCAACATCTGGGAAGCGTAGAGCTCCCATGGCGAACCCGAGGCTTCCCACCGAAGATGCGGAGTTAAAAACTAGTACCTCTGAGGTACTAGTTTCCGGAAACCGTGGGGCAAGGGCTGGCGTCTGATTGCGTTTCCGGTGGTAGTCCGTGGCATCTGGCGCCCACCCATTTTTCGTCGCAAACAGGGTTCCCCCCCAAGTCTCCACAGGATGCGCACAAGCACCCAACGGTGCATGCGCATGAAGAGGAAAACGAAAGTTCCATTGCTCCGCAGAATCGCACATGCCGTTGGTGAGATTGCGCCGCACCGCACTGCGCCGCTTCTTTGCCGCGCTGCAGGATCGTCGTGTGGTCGCCACCTCACCCCTACCCACGGGACCTCGACGGGACCTGTGATCGGGCAGCCGCGCGTTATTTTGCTCTGGGCCAAACTGCCACGCTTCCCCCTTGCATTTTACGGCCCGTGTGACCGGGACCAAAGTAAATAGAACTGTTGCCCTCGCTCTCAGGTAATCAAATCCAACCATCTCTGATTGGAGAGGGCCGTTCACATGACTAATTCGGCTAAGAAAAAAAACCCTGGAAGAAAAATAGTGGTGCGCAGTATCAGGAAGGAAGGAAGGAAGGAAGGAAGGAAGGAAGGAATTTTCACAAGCTATGTCATATGGAAGGGGTTTTAATTTCCTAAAATCATCAATTTGACACCCCCACCACCATTAAAACTGGCAAACAACAGGCCTATCAGTAAGCACCAGTGCAGATAACCTTAGCCAAAGCCCCAAACCACAGAGAGACAAAACAAGAACTTTTATATACACAATGAACCACGCCGCCACTACAATACATTAATTCTCAAAACGGGTCTGATGTGTGTCTGCTTTTTACAACTTGGGCCTACTGCCAGAGCCAAGAAGCCGCCGAAACGTGCCAGGAGCAGCATGCACTCCAGGAGGCACATGTATTTGTGTGAAGGAGGCACACGTATCCGTGGGGAGATGACAGGGAGGGGGCACCCAAAATGAAAGATGCGTTTAGAAAACTGGATAACACCAGAGGTGAACAGATCCGATCATACGGTGGGTGTTAGCAGAGGTGTTCCCCCGGCTATCTTTCAAATTCTGCTGGCATAATGTAGGGCCCCATCAATCAGACAGGAAGGGTGTCCACCGCTGACCGCCCCCTCGAAATTATCAGCAACAGGAACTCCAGGAATAAAGAGCCCCTTCCCTCAGCTTTGATAAAGGGCCTTTATGGGGGTGGGAATGCACGGCCTTATCGAGTCTCACCATCCACAAGGGGGAAACAATGATTTCTCATTTTCTCCAGAGGGTTTATGGATGGGGAGGGTCCTGAAATGGGGAGGGGGGAGATGCCGCTTGCTGGAGACAAGGTAAGCCTCACGTTTCAATGGAAGATGGATGAACGGAGCCCCCCGTGGGAGTGAGGTTTGCCTATCAATCAGTAACTATCAGGGGCTTGCAACTAGGGGTCCTTTGAAGGGAAAGGAGACGGCTGTCAATTGTCCTCTGATCAAGAGTCCCCGTCTATCATAAATGATAAGAGCACCAGTCTCCAGGGCAGAAGTGAAGCAAGAAATTAAGCAGAGAATAAGCCCTGAGAAGAAGTACAGGAATTAGGCTGGATCATTACATGCACCAGAGGGGACAGTGCCCCAGACACATGCTCAACCGGGAAATCCAGCTGCTTTCTAAATAGGCACAGACTTAGAAAAGGATGTAATAACTGGGATCCCCACAGGTGCACACACAGAGGAAAGGCTTCCCCAGAGTGTGAAAACATGCTGAAAAGAGGGAGTCGTTTCATAGCTGGGGGGGGGGGAGGCTGCATGAGACAGGGGAGTTGTCCAGGACTGGCTTCCCTTTCTCCCCATTAAGGGCTAGATTCGAGTCCAGCTGCGCGTTAGAGACCAACAGAAGGGTATAAGCTTTGGACAGCCAAAGCTTAGGGTCTTTAAGGCGCTACTGAGCTCTAGCTTCTTTACTGCAGACCAACCCAGCCATCTTCCTGAAGCTATCCCCATTTAGGGAAACTGGTCCCCCTGTGTACATTTGTCTGAGCACCATGTTTATAGCTGGGCATCCCATTCCCCTGACTATTGTGAAGGATTTTGATTCCCCCCCCCCCCCAAGTTGTCCAAATGCTGGAGTGGCCAGTAACAGGTCTCCAGCATCCTCGGATACAAACCTGGGAGACATCTGGCGGGGTGGGGTGGGGAGGTATACCAAGGCCAATATTTGGGATTGTGGTCCCACACATTTAATTCCTCCTTGAAAAGGGGGGGGGGGCTATTTCTCACATGATTGGTCCTGGGTCTGAAGGAGATGCCGGTCACATGCCCTCACCTGTAAACTCAGGTGTGCAAAAGATGCTTAGGGGGTCCCTCCGAGGAGAAGGGAACGCACCTGGCCTATTCCCAGTGGCGTTTTCCCCACTTACTCAGGAGCAAAGCCTGGCGTCGTGCGAACAGGTTCGGGCGCTCAATCTCGGTCGGAATTCAGCCCCCCCTACCTCTCCCTCGTTCCCCCTCCCCAGACAGCCCCCTCTCTGTCGCTCCCATCATTCGGGTGGACTTTGCTGCCGAATTCAGACCGGGGGGGGGGACGAATCTGCCCCACTCCTCCCCAGCCCCAGTCTCCTGGGTTGTTTGGGGACCAGGCAGGACTTCCCCCGGGGAGAATGGGCGTTCCCTGTCGAACTGCCGTCCGCACAGAGGGAGAGGCTGGTGTGCTCAGGACAAGAGCGCAGCTGGAGCGGGGAAGAGAGGCGCCGAGCCCTCCAGCCACCCGGGTCGGACTTACTTCCGAGTAAACACGCCCAGCCGAGCGAGATCGGAGCAGACGGGGGGTGGGGGGCTCGCCCAGCCGGCATATAAAGGCGGGCCAGGCGAGGCGGAGGAGGCATCGCCGGGCTCCAAGTTCCGCCAGCAGTCGCCGCCGCCCACGTCTCTCCCTCCGAGCCGTCCCGTCGAGGCAAGGCGGCATGGCGCGCCCGCAGCTCCCGTCGCTGCCCAAGCCCCGCGGGGTCTTCTGGCTCCTGGCCGCCTTCGCCCTGGCCCTCCTGCTGGAGGGACGCCGCGGCAGCGCCGCTCCTTTGCAGAGCCACGAGGGAGCGCCCCCCATGGCCAAGATCTACCCCCGGGGCAGCCACTGGGCAGTCGGTGAGTGGGGCGCGGGCCGGACCCGCCGCGGCCTCGTCCAGGGGGGGGGGTCGGGCGCGGGTAGAAATCGGGGAAGGGAGGGGCTGGATGAGGGCTTGGGGTGCGAGGAGGAGTCTTCCCTCGGACTTTTGGAAAGGTTAGTCTCCAGTCCTCCGTGGCGGTGAGGACCCTGGATCAGGTATTACGCTTCTGTACTGAGTGTCTTTCCCACCCCCGGGTCTGAATGCGCCCCAGTGGTGGTGGTTTTCGATTAGGCAAAGTGAGTACTGTGGCCCCGATCCGTCTCCCTCCCCTGCCGTCCACTGCCTTTCGCTGCTGAATTGCGTGGAGTGTGTGTGTGTGTGAGTGGATTATGATCACGGGTTCCCCAGCGTCGCGTGTAACTCAATCTGGACTTCCACAGCTTCGCTACTTTCCCTCTCAATAGTGCTGTTGGTGACCCACCAGTGCACTTCTCCAGAGCAAGTGTACTGAGAGTCACCATGGATCCCCCCCCCAAGACTCTACACCCCCCCCCCCCCCACTCCTTTCAACTTCATATTAGGAGCGAATAATTTGCTGTTTGAGTGTGCTGCTTTGTTGTAGCCGCCCTGAGCCTGCTGGGGAGGGCGGGGTATAAATCTAACAAATAAATAACTAAATAAATAATAGGGTTGTCCCATATACCTTCCCCTGACCAAACCTCTTCAGCAGTGTACATGCCTGTCATGTTGTCTTCACATCAACCCTGTGAGGTAGGTTAGACTGAAAAATCGTGACGGGACCAAGATCACTCTTCCCCCTCATTAAAGGGGATGCAGAATTTATACACCAGCGGTACCATATCCTAGACCCGATCCACACTGGGACAAAAAAATCCCAGCTTCAGGTACAGGCTAACGGGGTCAGAACTTGCTGAGAGGGGAAAAGATCTTGGGGTCTTAGTGGATAGCTGACAGAAAGTGTCCACCCAGCATGCTGCAGTGCTGAAAAAGGCAAACTCCATGTTGGGGATGATTAGGAAAGGGATTGAACATAAAGCAGCTAATTTTATAATGCCCCTGTATAGATCTGTTGTGCAGCCTCATTTGGAACACTGTGTACAGTTCTGCTCACCGTGTCTGCAAAAGGACATTGCAGAGCTGGAAGAAGGGGGGCAACCAAGATGATTAGGGAGCTGGAGCACCTTCCCTATGAGGAAAGGCTGAAGAGCCTGGGACTTCTCCATTCAGAAGAGAGAGGACTAAGGGGGAACGTGACCAAGAGGTTTATAAAATTGTGCACGGGGTGGAGAGAGTTGACCAAGATAAGTTTTCCTGCCTCTCCCGAAATACTAGAACTCAAGGACATCCAATGAAGCAGATGGGCAGTAGGTTCGGGACGGACAAAAGGAAATACTGCTTTACACAGAGAGTGATTTGAATGTGGGGTTCGCTGCCAGAGGATGTAGTGAGGGCCACAGGAACAAACAGCTTGAAAAGGGGATGAAAGAGATTCCCGGAGGATAAGTCTATCCATGGCTACTAGCCATGGTGACTGAGGGGGGACCTCCACATTCAGAGGCTCTAATCCCCTGCATCCCAGAGCCAGATGGCAACATCAGGGGGAGGCCTCTGCCTCTATGCCCCGTTGTTGGCTGTCCAGAAGAACTGGTGGGCTACTGTGTGAGGCAGGATGCTGGACCTGATGGACTATTGGTCTGATCCAGCAGGGCTCTTCTTATGTTCTTACGATGACTGAGGGGCTTGGAATTTTGCCCCTTCCCTGCTGTGGTGACCTTTAGCTCTGCATTACCCGCTCACTGCTTTCCCCTTCTTGTTCTTGCCCCCTCCCTTTCTATCAAACTGCTCTGTCTAGATGTGTGTGGTGTTGGGTGGATCCTGCCATTGCTGCTTTCTTCCTCTGAAGAAGAAGAATACACTTTGAATTAGCCAGTTTGATGTAGTGGTTAAGTGCGTGGACTCTAGTCTGGGAGAACCGGGTTTGATTCCCCACTCTTTCACTCGCAGCTGCTGGATGACCTTGGGCAAGCTATAGTTCTGTCAGAGCTGTTCTTGAAAGAAGAGCAGTTTCTGTCAGAGCTCTCTCAGCCCCACCTACCTCATAGGGTGTCTGTTGTGGGGAGGGGAAGGAGTCTGTAAGCCGCTCGGAGACTCTGAGTGAAGGGCAAGGTATAAATTCAATCTCCTCCTCCTCTTCTTCTTTATCTTCATCTGTGTCTAGCATAAGGCAGGATTTGTGTAGGTCCACAGAACAATCCCAAAACAGGAGTGGGATAACATAGATTAGGATCAGACAAAATTATACCAAATAATAGGTGCAAAAGATCTTGAGTTTCCCCAGAATTCTTCACCAGAATTGTTTAGTACAAAAGCGAAGGGGAAGAATTATCAGGGCGTGATGCCAGGTGATCTATTGGCTGCTAGCCTAGATGGCTTTCCAATTCAATTTTATCTATGACTATTAGTCCTAGTAAGTAAGAAGTACAGGGAGGGCTGTTACCTTCAGTTTGGTGTAGTGGTTAAGAGCAGCAGACTCTAATCTGGAAGACCGGGTTTGATTCCCCACGCCTCCTCCACTTACAGTTGCTGGATGACCTTGGGTAAACCATACTTCTGTCAGAGCTGTTCTCTCAAGGGCAGTTCTCTCAAGAGCTCTCTCAGCCCAACCTACCTCACAGGGTGTCTGCTGTGGGGAGGGGAAGGGAAATGAGATTGTAAACAGCTCTCAGTGAAGGGCAGGGTATAAATTTAACTCTTCCTCTTCGTCATCTTCTTCCCCTGCTTGTGGGTTTCCTGGATACACCTGGTTGGCCACTGTAGGAAGCAGTATCCCTTAAGAGCAAGATTTGAATCCAGTAGCAGAGAGCCAGTGTGGTGTAGTGGTTAAGAGTGCCAGACCAGAATCTGGGGGACCTGGGTCTGAATCCCCACTCATGCCAATGGAAGCTCGCTGGGTGACCTTGGGCCAGTCACACATTCTCAGCGTAACCAACCTCACAAGGTTGTTGTCAGGATAAAATGGAGGAGAGGAGAAATGACAGAGGAGAAGGGTGGGGTATAAATGAGTTAAATAGATTATATTATTATCGTCATCATTGTATGGCAGTGGGTGTAGTATAGCCAGGAGATCCTAAGATTATCTGGCAGCCGTAAGTTCTAGCTCTTTTTGCGTGATGCGCCACTAGGTGGCGAGCTAGACTTGTTTGGGGGGCTGAGAGAGCTCTGAGAGCTGTGACTGGCTCAAGGTGACCCAACTGGATCCATGTGGAGAAGTGGGGAACCAAACCTGGTTCTCCAGATTACGGTCTACCACTCTTAACCACTACACCATGCTGGCTTTCAGTTAAATAGATAAATTAATAATAAAATAAATAAAGACCAACAAAATTTCCAGGGTATGTGCTTTCCACAGTCAAAGCGCACCCCCTGGAAATCTTGTTCATCATTACAATCCTCCTGGTCTTGAATCTTGCTCTTGTACTGTAGACCAACACGGCTCCCCACCTGAAAGTATACACGAGACTGCCTTTTACTGAATCAGACCTTTGTGGTCTATTAAGGTCAGTATTGTCTACCCTGACCGGCAGCTGCTCTTCAGGGCTCAGGCAGAGTTCTTTCTTATCACCTACAATCTGATCCTCTTAGCCGAAGTTGCTGAGGATTGAACCTGGGACCTTCTGCCTGCAAAAGCAGATGCACCCAGCCACAGCCCTACTGCGGGATGCTGAATTAGATGGACCGCAGGTCTGATCCAGCTGCGCTTCTCTTAGGTTTTTAGGGTAACCATCAGACACAGAGGCTTTAAGTATCTGGTTGCAGGGAGAAACCAGGAAGTGTCTGTCTGGGCCCATTTTCACTGTAATATAAACAGGAATCTTGCGGCCCCAGAGAGACTAAGTTTCTTAAAAAAATTCTAGCATAAACTTTCACAATCTGTAGTGGTTCAGAGCATGGACTCTAATCTGGGAGAACTGGGTTTGAGTCCCCACTCCTCCACATGCAGCTGCTAGATGACCTTGGGCAAGCCACAGTTCTGGCACAGCTGTTCTTGAAAAAGAGCAGTTTCTGTCAGAGCTCTCTCAGCCCCACCTACCTCACAGGGTGTCTGTTGTGGGGAGGGGAAGGGGAAGAAGTTTGTAAGCCGCTCTGAGACTCCTTTGGGTAGTGAAGGGCAGGGTATAAATCCAGTCTCCTTTTTTTCTTCTATGATACGATAAAAAACAGGTTAGTCTTTTAAGATGTCACAAGAAGACTCTGTTTCATTTTTTTGCTGCATCAGACTGACACGGCTTCCCCCGTGGAATTATTTGCTGCCGTATCTTCTGGTCTCTGTCTTCTTTTCATTTATTACCTTTGAGATGGTTCATGCAATCTGTTTGTCAGCTGTGCAAGCAATCCCAGCCTTCCCCTGAGTAGAGTTTGTGGAAACAGAAATTATGTGTGAACCAGGAAAATACTGGGCTGTTTTGCGTATGTGAACTTGAAGCTCTTTCCTTTTCTTTCTCATTTAATACACTTTTATCTGGCAGTTACTCCAAGTTGCTGAGGGCAGCGTACATCGGTATGCCTTCCTCTGCATTACATTCACAGCAACCCTGTGAGGTAGAATATCTAGATTTGAGTTCAGTAGCCCCTTAGAGACTAACACGTCTGAGAGTCGAAGCCAGTTTGGTGTAGTGGTTAAGAGTGCGGACTCTGGGAGAACCGGGTTTGATCCCCCACTCCTCCACTTGCACCTGGCTGGATGGCCTTGGGCAAGCTGTAGTTCTGATAAGGGCTGTTCTTGAAAAAGAGCAGTTTCTGTCAAGAGCTCTCTCAGCCCCTTGACATGATGTCTGTTGTGGGGAGGGGAAGGGAAAGGAGTTTGTCAGCCGCTCTGAGACACCTTTCGGTAGTGGGCGGGATATAAATCCAATCTCCTCCTCCTCCTCCTCCTCCTCCTCCTCCTCC